CACCCCGCCGCGTCCAAAACGGACATCGTGCGGCACTTTGTGGACGCCGGATACGCCCGTTCCGGCATCTACAATATCTTGGCACTATTAGGCAAAAATCAGAACATCGAAAGAAAGTCAGGTTCTGGACGGCCGACGACCCTGAGCGACAAGAAGCTCCAAAGGATGTCGAACATACATGTCAGGAAGCGGAAGTCACGTCCACTGGTTTCGGAGCTACAGGAGCTCGTTTTTCCCGGCGAATCGCGACGTGTCGGTGGTGATGGATGACGAGACCTATCTCACCCTGGATGGCAACGAAGTGAGCTCCGAGGTGAAGTTCATTTCACACACCAAGTTCCCCAAGAATGTGCTGCTGTGGCTGACAATCAGCGAGAAGGGGATGTCAAAGCCGCTCTTCTTTCGCTCCGGACTGGCCGCGAACGGGGAAATTTATAGTACAAAATGCCTGCCGGAAGTTGCGTCGTTCATCAAGAAATACCATAAGGGCGAAGACGCGGTGTTCTGGCCGGATCTGGCGTCGGCCCACTACTCGAAGCGATCGTTGGAGGAGATGGAGCGGCTGAATATCGATGTGGTACCCAAATCGGCGAACCCGCCCAACGTCCCCCAGCTGCGTCCCATCAAGAATTTCTGGGCCAACCTGAAGCGTAAGATCTACTCCAACAATTTTGGCGCGAAAACTGAGGAGGAATTGATAAATAAAACGAAGAAATAAGAACTCAAAAATATGCCTAAATACACGCATGTTTTCGTCCGCCATGGCGAATGTTCCGGTTAACTGCCGGAAGGCCGCTCGCAAGGGCGTAGAATTTTTTTGCAAGTAAGCTTAAATAATTACCTTCCATGGGAAATTTATCAAAAGAAATTATCTGTCTTAGCTTTTTTTTTCACCATCCGAAAAAAGTTCATTTTTTAATGCAAACGTTATAAATAACAACGATGAATTAGTAAAATTGAAGTGCTGGAGGAAATATTCGATACAGGCTGTTTCGAATCTTGTTGAGAGGAGAGTGGATTTTCCATTCGCAGCCGGTAATTAAGATGAATCTACAGCTAGTTGAGCAAAAGTTTGTTTCTTTGAAAAACTCGAACAGCTGGTACAATTTGGATCTTTTGCGTCTTAAACAGAAAAGGGACAAATGGTACAAAAAGTTTGTAGATCAAATAATGACAATCATTGGAATAGGTACACAATCGTGCGTAATAAGTATTCACAATCGATAAAGAAAACTCGTTGTGAATATGTTCAAAGGAAGACTGATCAGCATCAAAACAACAGCAAAGAGTTATGGAAAATTTTGAAATCTTTAATAAAACCTAGTAATTGCAAACCGCGGTCCATATCTTTATTTGGCACATTAGAACAGTCAGAACAAGTAATTGCAGCTTAGTTTAATGATTATTTTGTAGACAGTGTTTCATTGATTGATCAATCCATTGAATTGGTTGATGAACCTGACGAAATAAAACAGCCAGTTAATAGTAGTTGTAGATGTGAAGTTTTTCACCCAATTACATTAGATGATTTAGAGTTATTTGTTTTTCATTAGGAAAATCGGCTGGAGTAGATAATGTTAATGCTAGAGTTATTCAAGATTGATTTCATGTCATTGGCCACATCTTGCTGGATCTTATTAATGAATAATTGCAAACGGCACATGTGCCACAAATTTGAAAGGAATCCTTAGTTGTTCCTATTCAAAAAGTTGCTGAAACGATTAAAGCCGAAGAGTTTCGTCCCATCAACATGTTGCACACATTAGAGAAAATTTTAGAACTTGTTGTTAAAGGCCAGCTGTAAGAGTATTTAAATAGTAATAGGTTGTTGATACCAGAACAATCATTCTTGTGAAACCGCATTGAATTTGGTATTAGCGAAGTGGAAAAACAACTTAGAGTGTAAAGACACGATTGTTGCTGTTTTTTTGGATCTAAAACGCGCTTTTGAAACAATTTCTAGGCCCTTATTGTTAAGATCAATCAAGCGCTTTGGAATTACGAGTACTGCATATAAATGGTTAGAAAGCTATTTGTCTGACAGAACTCAACGGACTGTTTTAATGATTCTGATTTCAGTCCCGTGGGGAATAACCTTGGAGTGCCCCAGGGAAGTGTATTAGGACCCTGTTATTTATTATATATTTTGATGACTTGCGACGTGTTTTACGATTTTGCGACATTGATCTTTTTGCAGATGATACTGTATTATTCATTGCAGCTTAGGATTTAGATGATGCCATTTTTATCGGCAGAAGTGGGAACAATCGGACTGGATTCGAAATACTATTCGAACTACAATTGAAAGGAACGTCTTTATTTGTCAGTAGTATAATTTGAACTGAAGAAAATGAAGTTATGCTCTAAAAGCAAGGCATACTGCGTTGTATATACTCAACACTCCTCCTCAACGCGACTACAACAGACCGCACTGCTTCCTTAGAAATTCCAACCGTATTCGTGGTAGAGGTTTGGTTAAAAGATCCGCGGCCATCTTTACCGTAGGGCAGTATTCATACTTGATAACACCACTATTGGACTTCCTGTCGGCAGAAGCCCAATCGGCATCAGCGTAACCCACCAGACCAGATGAATCACCACTGCTACTCAGTCGAAGCTTCAGATCAATTGTCCCCTTCAGGTAGCGAACCATTCGCTTCAACTCGTTCCAGTCACGTTGGGCTGGGTAACTCACCTTACGACTCAAGATTGAGATTGCCGTTGCGATGTCAGGTCTGCTGTTGACTGCGATGTACAACAGCTGCCCAACTACCTTTTGATATTCTTGATTATTTGGGAGCTGGCCATCGTTATCTTCCGTCTTGATGTACCCAGGATCAATTGGCACGGTTGACACTTTCGCATCCTGTAGGCCAACAGAACAGATGACGTCTTCAATGTATTTCCGTTGGTTGATAAGAAAATCTCCAGCATGGTGTCGATCGACTTCGATCCCGAGGTAAAACTTGACATCACCGAGGCAGCTGATCTGGAAATTTCTTGCAAGCGTTCGCTTCAATGCGTCGATCATGCGTTCATCCTCGCTCGCTACGATGAGATCATCCACATACACGAGAACATAGCACCACTTGCTACCAGCTCGCTTTCTGTACAGGCAGGGATCTGCGTCACATCGTTCAAAACCATCCGCTTCCATCACCTCATGCAGTCGCTGGTTCCAAGAACGAGCCGCTTGCTTGAGCCCGTACAAACTTTTCTTTAAATGGCATACCTTGTTTTCCATACCGCTGACGACATACCCGGGAGGCTGCTTCATGTAGATCTCCTCCTCAAGGTTGCCGTTGAGGAACGCCGTTTTTACGTCGAATTGCTTGACGATCATCTTCTTCTTGGCTGCCACAGACATCATGGTGCGGAACGTAACGTGTCGAACTACTGGCGCAAAAACTTCATCGTAGTCCGTCCCAAAACGTTGAGTGTAGCCCTGGGCTACCAGCCTGGCTTTGTACCGAACTACATTGCCATTTTCGTCTCGCTTCTGTTTTTACACCCACTTGCATCCAATGGCGCGGCTACCCGTCGGCAGGTCGACTATATCCCAGACATCGTTTTCTTCGATGGATGCTAGCTCTTCCTTCATAGCCGTGCACCACTTGGCGCTGTTTGGACTGGATAACGCTTGCTTCAACGATTTTGGCTCCTCCTGAACCGAAGTTTCTGCTGTACAAGCATACCGCTCTGGAATAGCTCCGAGATTAGCTCTTGTTGATCTTCGAGGTGGATCGACATCTACACTGGACATGCTCCCGTCCACACGTACGTCATCCGATTCAGTTGATCCTGGCTCACTCATTAGGTCTACTCGTTCGAAACAGATGGATGGTACAACCGGACTTTCTCCCACCGAACCTGGCATGGGCCCGCAAGAAATAAGAAATTTAACATCACGGCTAACAGTTACCTTTCCATTCGTCTCGTCCACCTGGCATGCCTTCGATACTTCACTGTATCCGACGAACCTGAGCTTGACAACCTTCCGATCCAGCTAACCTCGCTTTTCATTTGGTACATGGCAGTACGCATCCACATCAAACCGCTGAATGTGTCCGAGATTGGGCTTCTTCCCGAACCACCGCTCATATGGTGTGCCACTGATCGACCGTGATAGCAGCCTGTTCTGCATGTAGTTTGCAGTTACCACTGATTCTCCCCAGAAACGCTTGTCCAAATGTCCATCAATGAGCATGCACCTGGCCATTTCGACAAGGTAACGATTTTTTCGTTCTGCTACCCCATTTTGCTGTGGGGTGTATGGTGCCGTGAGCTGGCCGATGATACCATTTTGCTTCAGGAATGCATTGAATGCCTTGCCAGTAAACTCACCACCCCTGTCCGAGCGGAAAATTTTGAGCTTCCTTCCAAACTACGCCTTGACTAGCTCAACATATTCCTTCAGTTCCTGGAGCGCTTCAGACTTCTTCCGTAGCAAATAAACGACCGTGTACTTACTGTAGTCGTCGATGAATGTGATGAAATATCGTCTTCCGCCCAGAGTCGCCGTCCTCATTGGTCCACAGATATCAGTGTGAACCAAATCCATCACCGCCGATGACACACTTTCTGACGTCTTCGGAAATGATGTCCTGTGCATCTTACCTTCAATGCACACTTCACATGCATCAGTGCAGCTGCATCTCTTCACCCTCACGCCGTTGTCCAAGGTCTGCAATTTCAACACCGCTTCGCAGTCTCTGTGTCCGAATCGTCTGTGCCACGCATGCACGCAGTCCAGTCATCGTTCGTCATCACCATGGATACGTTTTGGGTTGATTGACGAATTATGAACAAGTTACCAACGGACTTCGCCATAGCACATATCTTTTCACCTTTCATGATTCTCGCTCCAGTTGCGTCGAATGTGACGACGAATTCTTTCTGCACCAGCCGCTTCACGGATAGCAAACTTGACTTCATTTCAGGAACATACAAAGCGCTTTCTATTGGAACTTCACGTAGTCGACCAGAACCATCTAGCACATTTATTCGCCCAGCACCTCGGCCTTTCGAACGTACCCGTTGGCGACCCAAACGTCCTCAGTAGCTGCATCATCCAAATCCTCGAAGTTCCGGTAATTTGCAATGTGGCAGGTTGCACCGGAATCCAAAATCCATTGGTCTTCCGCTTGACTATTGCATCCAGTGAGAAACGCGTAGCTATCATCATCATCATCTTGCTGCGATACGTGGTTGGCTTTCTGTTGCTTGGATACTGCCTTTCGGTGCTTGGATACAGCCCCGTTTCCTTTCTCCGCCTTCCATACTCTGAACTTTTCGCAATTTGCCTTCTGGTGACCTAAATTTTTGCAGAAGAAGCACCGGTCTTTTTCGGCCTTTGAATTTGCATAGAGAACAGCTTCAGGATTATCGCTATCATCGTTGCGCTGCTTCTTTTTCTGCCATTCATCGATAAGCTTGCCCTTCACCATATCCAGGGTCAAATCATTCTCTGGTCGAGCTTCAAGGGTGGGTACCAACGTCTCGTACTCCTCCGGCAGACTGCTGAACAAAATCGCGACCAACCATTGGTCGTCAAGGATCTTTTCGGGCTGTAAATTGTTGAGCTTCTCGAACAATTCCGACAACTTCGATACGTGCGCTTCCATATCTCCATGTTTTTCCAGGCGTTGACTACAAATTTTCCGCATCACAGAGACCTTCGTCGTGAACGTTTTCTTGACATGGAATTTTTCTAAAGCTTTCCACGCCTCTGCCGCCGATTTGGCCTTCCTAATGTTTATGTATTAATTGGTTATCCTCCACGACCAATCCAATCGATGCCAGCACTTGATCATCCTTGGTCTTCCACGCACTTGTAACCGCTTCTGGCCTTGCGTCAGCTATGGTCATCCAATTTCCTTCCTTGGTCAGCAACAGCTTCATCCGGAAACTCCAGTTATCGTAATTGGATCCATTTAGCCTTGAAAACGACATCCGCCATCTCGTTACGAATTCAAATTCTATCTTCACCAGTTCCGATTGCCCTGTCTGGGCCCATAACCTATCGGCAGAAGTGGGAACAATCGGACTGGATTCGAAATACTACTCGAACTACAATTGAAAGGAACGTCTTTATTTGTCAGTAGTATAATTTGAACTGAAGAAAATGAAGTTATGCTCTAAAAGCAAGGCGTACTGCGTTGTATATACTCAACAGTTTTACACTTGAATGAAGATTTGCGTTCTCTAAGTAGATGGTTGAAGTATAAGCAGTTGAAATTGAATACAAGTAAAACTAAATTTATGGTAATTTCGCGGAATCGAGTAAATGAGAACGTCTCTGTTGTAATTGATTATGAGACTATTGATCGCGTTCGCGAGATTAAATATCTTGGCGTAATTATTGATGACAACCTTAAGTTCAACTCTCACATTGACAATGTCATCAAGAAAATTGCCAAGAAGTATGGAATTCTATGTCGACTGAAAAACGATTTAACTATTGCCAGTAAAATACAGCTATACAAATCAATCATCTCTCCACATCCTTTGCCCTTCCATTTTATTTCTGGCCAATACAACACAAATATCGAGATTACAGCGCTTGCAGAATAAAATAATGCGTTTGATTTTGAGATGTAATAGATTCACTTCCTCGACTTTGATGCTAGACGCCTTACAATGGTTGTCGGTGAAGCAAAGAATTGTATATTTGACTATGGTGTTCATTTTTAAAGTAGTTAACGGTTTGCTGCCACGATATTTGTAAGATCGAATTGAAAGAGGAAGTGACTTTCATAGATATAAAATACTAGAAACGTGGCTTAAATAAGAACACCACATTTCTTGACTTGTGCTTCACAAAATTCATTATATTATAAAGGTATAAATGTTTTCAATTCGATGCTTAGACATATAAAATGTTCAGTAACACAGAATTTAAAAGACACTGCGTTTCACACGTTAAAACTGTCTTTTGAACAGTTATCCAATGATTTTTTTTTATGAATTGACATACATAGTTGACGAAGTTATCTCTAACGGATTATTTTATATGGATAGCTGTCATAACGACTTTTTTCAATAATTATTGTAGCACTGCAAAAACTATTTCTGTTCGCCTCGATGGTGATGATGGATTTTTAATATTTGATTTAAAAGTAGATTAATTAAAAAAAGTAGTCTACAAAGGTTTGAGCCTCGCGCGCGTATTACTGTTATATTTTTTTTTTTTGCTTTATTAGAGAGATTTTCAGCCTTGAGCTGGTTCATCTCTTAACAACGACGGGAGTCCCCCTAATTACAGAGCTAATAGGAAGGGGAGGTGAGGTTCCAGAAGAGAACCCCGAGGATACGGAGTTAGGAGATGGGTGGGAGCTCCAGAAGGGAGTCTCCATAATAACAGAGTTTTAATATTTCAGAGTTGGGAATTTTCCTTTAATGCTACCGATGAATGCTGTCCTTTTGAATAATCGTGGTCAAGTGGTCAAGTTCCGTGTCCTGTTCCTTTGTAGTCGCTGTGTTTAATTTTAGTGCCGTCATTCGTCCATTTCCGTGTCCTTGTACGTGCTTTGCTTGGTTCAATATATTCGTTCATCCGTGTCCGAGTCAGTATTTGTTGCCGAGGTATAGTTTTGAGTCCGAATCATTGTCCGTTGTAGTTGCTTGGGTGTTCAAATTTGGTTAATCAGACCTGCCTCCTGAAGGAAGCAGAATAGTGCAGCGATGCTGGATGGATCATCCTTCAGGGTATCCCTGATGCTACCTGGGATCCCGTAAAGGGAACGGGGTCCGTGGTACTGGGGGCATTCGTATAAGAAATGCTCCACTGTAAGCGGAACATTGCACGTATCGCACTGTCGTCTGAATCCGCCTCCGCCTCTCATGTTGTGGGAGACTTTGGTATGGCCGGTTCTCAACAGAGATAGAATGACTTGAAGTCGGTGTTCAGGTGGATCCTCCCATTTCCTGGTATCCCCTTTTACCTTCCGGATAAATAAGTCTCGAGATCGCATCCATTCGTTAGTCCAGCAGTTCCAACCTCTGGCTCCACACCAGTGGACCCTGGCTATAGGGGGAGCTCCAGGTTAGTGGTATTATTCAGGAGATCGTTCGCCTCCATGAGGAGGGACACTCCGTCACTTGTCCCTGTAGTCTTTTCTGCAAAGCCAATCGCTTTCTTGCAAACAGTTGCAACAATGTACTTTTCAAAAGGCAGCCTTCCACTCTCCACGCAGGCTGCCAACCTGGGGGTGGATGGGAGGAGACCTGATGTGACCCTAATGGCCTGATAATACACTGGAGCCAGTTTGGAAATCAACCTATCAGCAGCCAGGCAAGTCAGTTCTAAACCTTAGGTTAGTCTGGAATCAACTACCGCTTTTGCTACACGCATACGAATAGCACGGTTGTTCATCAAGTATCTTTTGGCCAGTGTTCGGAGTAAAATTACTGTTATAGAGACTGAAATTTAACATTTGATAAAAAAAAAAAATGCAATTTTGAAGCTTATTTGGAAGATACCTTGAGTTAGTAGTAAGTTTTCTAGCAAATGTTGGGGGTTCGTGAGCATTCCCGACATTGCTGAAAATAATGATAGCATCAGATTGCGGGGTTGCTAGTGTAATAGGATGCTTTGTTGATTGTTCATTAACTCTTGATTGCTTGTAATACTTATGAATAATTTAGGTGGACAAAAAGGCGAGCTAAGGGCTGGACACATGAGATTTTCCACATTTATATCGCTGTGAAGCAACTGTAAACTCTAGAGGGAATTTATATCTGTAACTGAAACCAGTTCGATTTTGTTTGCTAACCTGGTTAAAATGTCATATTTAATTATCTTAAAGAAAAATCGTCCAGCTCAAACCTTTGTAGTGGTAAGAGGTGGGACCATCATCATCATGATCATTATGAATGCACGAAGCTTGAACCCGGGAGTTAGAAGGTGACAGCTCTACCGCAGCTACAATAGTCCATTTCAAGAACGCAAGCATTCCGAAGCATTTATAAAATTTTCACTAGAACGAAAACGACTCAGCAAAACCTCTTGTCTATTTGATATATGTTTCACATCGAAGATGCGTCACACATACCAAAACGACCAGGCCTACAGTGCAGCATTTAAGGGGCAAGATGTTCAGAAAACATCGGGCCTGTTTAAATCGAGGATTTAAACACGATTTAATCCCGATGTAAACTAGGACATAAATACCGCTCATAAGTGACATAGAAAATGTATTGGGTTGTTATTGGTTATAATGTTAAGTAGTCAATGACTACCTGCAACCACCCACAACCACAGCACTGGAAGACATGTGCTGAAAAGACAATGTTATTTTCAAATGATCCAAAAAAGGCTGTAGTTTGTGCTGTTGTTTCTTTGGTGTTCAATGTATTTATAAACTGGGCAATTCCTTCAAGCATGGACATTGTTTAAAAATATCATCCATTTCATCATTACCATCAACAGCAGCAGCGAGTCCATCTCGTTACGGTCCGGATCATCCCGAGCGGACAATTCATTTTCGTTGGCCCACTCTACTCCTGATTCATCTTTATTTATGTACTTTTCGCCCAACGCACCGTCGTCGTCGTCGTCATCTTCGATTGGTCCAATGCACTTTTCTCCTACCTATACATAAAATGCATTTCGGTTGAACTCTGCGCGAGAAGTTCCACCGACCTCATCCTCCAAACCAAAGCTCCAAGAAAGGAGAAGAGAGCGCGCGCGAATCTCGTTTGGTGGATTTCTTTTCTTATTTTATTATGTTTGTGCTCTTTTCGGCGTTGTTGTTGCTGCAGCAGCAGCAGCAGCAGCAGCAGCAGCAGCAGCAGCAGCAGCAGCAGCAGTAGAAGCTACTTCTGCTGCAGTTTTGCTATTTTTTCTCTTATGCACTTCTTTCGTTTGAATGTTATATTTTTTCCGCTGATTTTATTTTTTGCTCAGCTTCGTTACGATCTCGTTTATTTATTTTTTCGTCTTCCGCGCGGAGTTCAGCGTTTCGTGAAAGTTCATTAAACTCATTCTCGCCGCGTCATTTTTATTACGTTCTGCACTACATCTTGGGTTCCCGTTTTGCGTCCGCCGCATTTGCACCCGTGGTCCTCCTCAGGTTGGTGAATCTGTCTGCCGGCACTGTCTGAGAAATTGATTTATTTTGAACACAATGGGGAAATTAATTCGTTGTTTTGATCTAGTTTCGACTCGTTCGGCCAACATTTGCGATATTTTCTTATTTTTTAGGTTTCAAAGATAATACAGAATGGACCATAATCGAGGCTCCCCACATTTTATTTTCCCATTCCAGCTCAGTGCCCTCGGATTGTATATCGGGTCCAGAAGGGCCCCGACCCGGAGGACCAAGATTGGTGAGAGAAGAACCTTTTCGGTTCGCTGTAGTAGTGCATGCGTTGTAAAATGCAGTCTTGCTCCGGTTTGGAACGGTGCACGAAATGCATGTTGCTGGGATGTTGAATTTTTCCTCCAATTCACTAACTGCATCATATAGAAGAACCTAACCCAACGTATAGGTTTTTCTTCCTGTTTTGTTCCTTTTGATGCAACTTTTTTTCTACTCTCTTTCGTCTCGCTTCATCCAAAGATATGCAGCACATTACAAACACCGATGAGCGGTCGCGTATTGCATTCGGAAATCCTCTCTTT